CCTCAAGAGTCTCATCTCTATCCAAATAGGTAATTTGATGTCATCTACGACTCTAGTCCTCTATCCAAATATCTCGGATTCCGGTATTATCGCACCATATCTCGGCACCATGATCCGCCCACGTGGCACCTTGGCTAACAACATCGGCCATGTGGACTACCCAACAATATGTCCCGACACCTTCTTTTTCATTCTTCTCGGTTCTCTGGTGAGGCTTGCGACTTCAGTGACAAAAGCTTGTGACCTTCGGCAACAAAGGTGCTGCTACCACTGCAAGTTTCTCAACAATCTTTCTTCACTCGTCTCTCATGTCAGCCGTTTCTGAGAAAACCAAGCCGAATCTGGGGCGTTTTGGCAACATAAGAGTGTTTTGGGAAGGTTAAAAGCTTGTTTTTTTGATTTTTTTTCTTCTTTTTATGGGTAAAAAAATATAAGAGGTGATATGATTCAAGAGTTAAAAAAATATGAGAAGTAATATGGCTCATGGGTTAAAAATTAAAATTTAACTTTTTATTTGCTTTCCAAAAGGTTACATGGTAAAATGTCAACTTTTGTAATTTTTTTTTTTGGGTTACATCTCTATTTTTAAAAAAAATAAAAATAAAATTAAAATTTAAAGGTCACTAATTACCAACTTCCCAAAACACCATTCTAACACAGATCTCACACCCGCACCTGTGTCGTGTCTACACGGCTACTCTGCCCTAAACCGATGAGTCCATGTAACACAGCTCGTACGTGTACCAATAGGGCTGTATGCGAATGAATATTTTTTATACATTCCTTGGCAGTTGAGTTGTGAGTATATTAAGGTACACCAAGTTATGCAACATTGGGAGACATATGTTTAATTTATTAGAAAGGTTTTGATTTATTTACTTGAAATTGCAAAATATGCTATGATGAAGTTGGTAGGAATTGAAAATTGAAATTTCAAATTTCTAAATTTTACATAGCTTGCGTTTGGAATGAAACTTTATTTTGTAATTTCTCTTATTTAATAACTTTAAAATAGCTTATGAACTTTGCTTTGATATTAATATTGTTGAATTATGATTTCTCTTTTAATTTTGTAATTTCTCATTTTAATTTTGATATTGAACTTTGATGTGTAGGTGGAATTTTAAATTATAAATTTAAAAATATATATATTATTGACGTACCTAACCGTACCCGTATCTTTATTTTTTAAAATCTTGACGTATTGACGTACCCATAATGCATCCATATCAGTATCTGTACCCGCACGCATGCTTTGTAGGTCATACCAAGACCACAACCATTGTAACTGGGGCATATATGGTACACCCCGCTCATGGGGTACTTATAGTAGAATTTCCCTTTAATCAGATTTTATTGTTTGATTATCAGGCTGTGCTATTGCAATGGAGATGCTTGGGAACTTAATTGCATGTTACAATGGCCTGGATGAAAAGATGAAGACGCTCAGAAGCAACATAGAAGCATTAAGCTGCGAAGCAGATGACATGTCTGTACAACTAGAAGTTGCAGAACTGCAATCAGGAAAGAAATGAAAACATGAAGTTGAAAATTGGTTGAAAAATGTAGAATGGACAAAAAAAAAAAGTGTAAATCATAGAACAACAAGAAAGGAACCTTTCCTCACTTCTGTCACAGGGAAATCATATTGATAAATTGAATGGAGAAATTGCGGAACTCCGTGATCAAGGTAGATTTCCAGCAGGGCTTCTACTTGACATGCCTAAGACCAGAGGAGAGCCTCTGTTGACAACAAAATTAATAGGTCAAGGATTTGAGCAAAATCTGAAGGAAATTTTGGAACGCTTAATGGATGATGAGGTGCTACGCATTGGAATTTATGGAATGGGGGGAGTGGGGAACCTTACTTTGCATATCCATAATATACTTTTAGAAAAGTGTAATGCTTTTGATAATGTTTATTGGTTTACAATATCATAAGCCTTTAGCATTTGTAAGTTACAGAGTGACATTGCCAAAAATTTGAAATTAGTTTTGACAAGCGAGGATGAAGAGAAAAAAAGGGCAGCACAATTGTCACAAGAGTTGACAAGTACAAGGTATGTACTCATTTTGGATGATGTGTGGAATAAAATTCTTCTAGATAGAGTTGGAGTTCCAAATAGAGTGAATGGATGCAAGTTAGTTCTAACTACTCGCTCGTTTGATGTATGCTGTAGGATGGATTGACAAGCGAGTATCAAAGTGAAGCCCCTTTCTGATGCGGAAGCTTGGAACTTATTTAGGGAGAAACTTGGACAGCACATGGCACTTTCTCCAGAAGTAAGAGAAATTGTAATGGCTGTGGCGGCTGAATGTGCTGGTTTGCCACTTGGGATTATTACCATGGCTGCAAGCATGAGAGGGATAGATACCATTCATGAATGGAGGAATGTGTTGTGAGAACTGAAAGAATACAATGGGGCAAGAAGGCATGGAAAAGGATGTATTGCCAGTATTAAAACTTAGTTATAATCGCTTAAATGATATAAAGCTGCAGCATTGTTTCTTGTATTACGCCTTTTATCCTGAAGACTATCAAATTGGAAGAAATGATTTAATAAGATATTTAATTGTTGAGGGACTGACTGAGGAAAAGAATAGTTTGCAATCAAAGTTAGGAAAAGAATAGGTTGCAATCAAAGAAGCAGATGAAGATCAATTAGGAGAGTGTTGTTGTGTCGCTTTTGGCCTTGAGAAATTGTATCTCTCTGATTTGTCGGATTTTCGGTTGGGGTTTGGAGTAATTGCACCTTCACACAAAACATTTTCCTGTCTTCATGAGTTGGAAATTACTTGTTGTCCCAAAATCAAGAAGCTGTTCAGTAATAATGACAATGATGACAATGAAACCACAATTACTCTACCTAAGTTAGCGATGTTAAAACTGGTGGATTTGCCATGGTTGGAAAGCATCTACGAGGGAATACTGGTATGTGATTCCATTGAAGTAATTGAAGTAAGAAAGTGTCCTAGGCTAAAAAGGCTACCTTTCTTTCTAGCCCTTGTTAATGGACAACCAGCGGCTCCCACAGCTCTTGAAGAGATCATTGTAGATGAAGACATAGAATGGTGGGAATCATTGGAATGGGACCATCCAAAAACCATGGATGCCCTTCAATGTTTCCTCTACTTTTCCGGTAGCTATTGGTCCAGCAAACATTTCAGTAAAATTCCTCATTGAACAATAGTAAGAAGTTGTCGCTTTTTTGTCCTTCCATTTTTTTCCCCCAACCTATACACAATTATGTTTATATCTTTAGTATCCTGACAACTTATTTTCTTGAATTGCTTTGTTTCTTGAAGGGTGCATTGGTCTTCTAGGCCAAAAGACAAAAAGTCAAAGCCACTTGATCTGCTGAAAGCTATGAAGCACGGGTACTCCAAAAATAGTGCCGTACACGCACCGGGTACTTATCGAGTGCGGGTGCGGGTACGCGTACCGGTACGACTGCACGCGTAAGGGGTACGGCAAAAATTAGTCGGGTACTTCTACCTCAGTTGGGTACAGCATGGGTACGCCTTTGGTGCGTTTTGGGTACGGCGGGGGTAGAAATCAAATTTTCTAAAAAATTAAGGGGTACCGAAGCAATATTAAGAAAAATTTTAAAAAAAGAAAAAGAAAAGATGTGTATACGAATGCTCTAATCTCATCACTTTTTTGCCCTAATCTCATCGAAGCAAAGAGAAGAGGCAACTTCGACCGTCACCCTCTTCTGCGACTTTGAAATAGAGATCGACTTCGACCCTCACCCTCGTCTTCGACCCTCACCCTCGTCTGCGACTTCAAAATAGAGATCGACTTCGACCCTCACTCACCCTCGTCTGCGACTTCGAAACAGAGATCGACTTCGACCCTCACTCACCCTCGTGTTCGACTTCGACCCAGATATCGACTTCGACCCTCGGTTTCGACTTCGACTTCGACGCAGAGATCACCCTCATCTTCAACCCACGGCATCAGAGGTATATCTCTTCATCTTTATGTATTATTTTTTTTTTCTTGTTTCTTCTTTAGTTATTAATACTGAAAATGCTAATAAATATTAATAATAAATATTAGAGATGAAAATGCTAATAATCATAAATATTATTATTAGTTATTAATAATAAAAAAATTAGAGATGAAAATGCTAATAATCAAAAAAATTAGTTATTCCTCAACAGAATGTTAATAATCATAAATATTATTTTTAATAATCAAAAATATTATTTTTTATGCTTATAGGAAAATGAGTTCATCAAGCAGTTTAGGTTCATCTGCTGCAAGTGCTTCTGCTCCTTCCATTGATCAATCTGGAGATGAAAATGCTCCTCTTTGGGGCTATGTTACAAAATTAGTTAAAAGGGGAGAAGGAGGAAGTGGTAATACAAAATTTAAGTGTAATTTTTGTAACACTGAGTACCAAGGGTCATATTCTAGAGTTAGAGCCCATTTGTTGCTACTTACTGGCCATGGAATTAGAGTGTGTGCAACTGTGAAGAACAAGAGTGATCTTCTTTCTGAAATTCGAAAGGTGGATCAAGAAGCTGAGAACCGGAAAAAAATGGCAAAGCCAAAAAATGTTCCTTTACCACCTCCATTTTCTCAAATTAGTGCTAGCCACGGCAGTGTAGAAGATGTTGGAACATTTAGAATGGAAGGTTATGCACCAAGAAAGAGAAAGGCAATTGGGAGTAGTCCTTTAGATAGGGCATTCAATCAAAGTGCTAGAGAGCATTTACATTCTTTAATTGCCCGTATGTTCTATTCAGCCGGTTTGCCTTTCCATTTGGCTAGGAATCCATACTTTGTGGATGCTTTTCAATATGCTGCTGAGAATCAAATTGTTGGGTATGTCCCTCCTAGATATAATTTGTTGAGGACTACCTTACTTCAAAAAGAAAGGGCAAATATTGAAAGGTTATTAGAACCAACTAAGAAGTCATAGGATAAGAAGGGGTTGAGTATAGTATCTAATGGATGGACTGATGCACAAAGGAGGCCTCTCATTAATTTTATGGCAGCATGTAATGGTGGAGCTATGTTTATAAAAGCTGTTAATTGTGAGGGTGAGACCAAGGACAAGTACCATATTGCCAAATTAATCAGTGAAGTGATTGATGAAGTGGGTCCTAATAATGTAATTCGGGTAATTACTGATAATGCTCCAGTTTGTAGTGCAGCTGGATCAATTATTCAAGGTAATTATCCGAAGATCTTTTGGACACCTTGTGTAGTTCACACTCTTAATCTTGCTCTTAAGAACATTTGTGCTGCGAACGAAGTTGGAGTTGTTGCATATGCTTATGATGAATGCCATTGGATCACTACTGTGATTGATGATGTAATGTTTGTGAAACATTTCGTCATGAATCATTCTATGAGATTAGCTATTTTTAATGAGTTTGTACCTTTAAAGCTACTTTCTGTTGCAGATACACGCTTTGCATCTGCAATTGTTATGCTAAAAAGGTTTAAACTTATATATCATGGTCTCCAAACAATGGTCATAAGTGACAAATGGGCTTCTTACAAGAAAGATGATGTTGGGAAAGCAGTTGTTGTAAAGGAAAAGTTGTTGAATGATGTTTGGTGGGATAAGATTGAATATATACTCTCATTCACATTGCCTATTTATGAGATGCTTAGATTTTGTGACGCTGATAAGCCATGTCTACATTTGGTTTATGAGATGTGGGATTCAATGATTGAACGGGTGAAGGCATCCATCTATAGGCGTGAAGGGAAGTCAGAAAATGAAGAGTCATCCTTTTATTCTGTAGTGCATCAAATATTAGTGGAAAGGTGGACAAAAAGTAGCACACCTCTTCATTGCCTTGCTCATTCCTTGAATCCAAGGTATAATTCACATTAGACTCATGAATCCAAGGTTTATACTTTAATTTTTTTCATTGCATAATTTACTTATTATTTTTTTCTAATTATGAAATCTAGGTATTATAGTGGGATGTGGCTTCATGAAAATCCCATTCGTGTTCCTCCTCACAAAGATGTTGAAATTTCTGAGATAAGAATCAAGTGTTTTAAGAGATACTTTCCTGATTCAGATGAGAGAAGGGTTGTTAATACAGAGTATGTGAAGTTTTCAGGTTGTTTGGAAAGTTTTAGTGACTCTGACTCAATATGTGATAGAGGGGTAATGGAACCAGTGGTTTGGTGGTTGGCACATGGCTCTTCTGCACCTATGCTCCAATCCTTGGCAGTGAAATTACTTAGCCAACCATGTTCGTCATCATGTCGTGAAAGGAATTGGAGCACCTACTCTTTCATTCACTCTATGAGGAGGAATAAAATGACACCACAACGGTGCGAGGATTTGATTTTTGTGCACTCCAATATTCACCTCTTATCAAGGTGGAGTCAACTATACACAGAAGGAGAGACCAAGTTATGGGACGTTGGGGGAGATGCATTTGATTCATTGGAGGGTTCTGGTTTCCTTGAAATTGCAAATCTTTCACTTGATGAGCCAGAGATGGAAGCTATTTTATTCAATGATGAAGTTGATGGAAGTGAACTTTGAAGTGTCAAGTTTAGATATATAGGGCTTTCTTTTGTTTTTTTTCCTTTGCTTGTGTTATGGACTGAATTGGCCTTTTTTTTCTTTTGGTGTTGGTTGTTTTTCCTTTGCTTGGATCATGGACTGAATTGGTGTTGGTTATGTTATGTTGAATTCAAATATATTAATATTTGTCTTTTAGTTTTATAGTTCTCTTTTTAGTTTTGATATTTAATTGCAATTTGTAGGTTGGATCTTTTAACCATAATTATAAAAAATAAAAAATAAATAAAAAAATATCGGCGTACCGCAGCCGTACCCGTACCCTACTTTTTTGGGGTTTTGCCGTATCGGCGTACCCGTACCGTACTCGTACCCGCACCCGTGCTTCTTAGGCTGAAAGAATATCATTCCTTCCACAGTGATGGCTTAAATGGTAATGCTACACCCCAATTATTTCTTCGACTATGTATGCCCTTGCTGTAGTTGCTCTCTGTGATTATTGCTCACTTTGTAATGAAAAGCATTTTTGTTTCATCTATGTCTGTTGAAAAACAGGACTAGTTCTGCCTGCCAGTTTATTTTGCATCCTCCTTAACAATTTCTTTGGTGCTCTATGTCACCTTTCATTGCATTTATGGTTTCTTTTTATTACATTTAAACTAGTAAAATATTTTATTCATGGCACAATCCTAAAAGAATAAGCAGGATAGTTCTAGCTATATATGCATGGCAGAGTCCTAAAAGAGAGGACTGGATACAAAGCTTTAGTTGTCCGACACGATGTCTCATTCTGTTTCATTGGATTACTACACAGTTTATCACCCAAAAATGTCACTGATTTTGTTAGGTTTGTTTTAAAATAAATAAATAATAGAGCATCAATACAAATCTATTGCCTTTAGGCTGTGTTTGGATCATAGATTTGGGTAGGGATTTGGAAAGGAAAAGAAAAAGGTAGGTGAAATATGAATGAAATATACCTACATTTCATACACTTTTTACCTGCAACTTTCTCCTATAAATGTCTTATTGATTTGGCCTGAATCGATTGCTTGTCTAATTTATCCTTTTTTTTTTCTCTTTTAACTTTGCTTTAGCTGCTGAATTGATCGCTTAATGACATAAAAATGTAGAACTTCGAATAATTTTTATTTTGTTGGATCCTCATTTAACAATGGATCATGTTTGTTTTGACAGAGGGAGTGACAATGACCTATGTTTCTAAAGATGTCAATTCCTGGAAAGGAACTTCAACAAATTCTTTTAAGTACCCTGGTTTAACATATAACTTTCAAGGCCTTCGATGAAAGCAAGTGCCGACTTTAATGTCTTGTCTGGCATTCTAGTTTCTTCTTCTGCTTCAATATCGTACTCGGCTTTGACATTAATCAGAGTTTCTGATGACTCTCCATTAGTAGTGTGTTTGAAAAGTAGTTTTGTTTGAAGAGAAGCCAAGGTTGAGGTCTCTTTTGGATGTTATTTGGTGCTGGAAAGCTCTCATTTTGCTGCAGTTTAATTTGTTTTACAAGTATTATGTTTTTGTTGTTTCTCTAATTATCCCTTAAATTTGATGATTGATGTTTGGATATTTTTAATTTCAATGTTTGTGCTCATATGTAATGTTTATCGGGTTTTTATTAGTTAAAATGATCAATTTACATTAATGTAATACTGATAATTGAATAAACAATCTTTTGGTATTAACAATTTATTTTAATTTGTAAGAATTTTAAAATTTGTAATCAACTTGGAATCAAACCACCTAAGAATTTGGGGCACTTACCAGTCGGTCCCATGCAAACAAATTAATACCCACCAAGTCCTGCCCTATTTTAGTTTCCAATTTTACCCCTGAATGTCACACCACACGCATGAATCAAAGAGCATATCACGAGGTCTACCCTGTGCGCATGAAACACACGCTCCTTCTCAAATGTTCTGATTTGGAAACTATTCTGAGGTGATTTGGAAACCATTCTGAGGCGATTTGCGATTTGGAAATCAAAACAAATGAAGAGATTTTCCCTGTATCTCCCATCGTTTCCAAAGAAATCACCTCTGTTTCGATCAATAATCTGATTCCGAACAGATTTCCAGCAAATCCTTCACCGTTTCGATCTACATTCCCTGTTTCGTTCATCTTCAACAAACATGCAAATGAAACGTGAGTCGTATTCATCTTCCGCTCTTCTTTTATAACTATAATTAAGTGATATTGAACTTCACAATAATCACATCTTCATGTTCATTTGCTATCCAATAACAGATTTGATTATTTTGCCCAATTCAGTGAGAAAATTTGCTATAAGAATGATAAATTTGCTTAATTTTCTTAATTAAGTCATAAAATTTGTTATAATGATGGATTTGCTTCCCTTCTTCGTTCATAACTGTAATTGAGTTATAAAATTCACTATAGAATGATGGATTTGCTTACTTTTGCTAATTCAGTGATAAAATTTGATATACAATAACAGATTTCATTACTTTGCCCAATTCTGTGAGAAAAATAGCTATAAGAATGATAGGTTTGCTTAATTTTCATAGTTGAGTGATAAAATTTGTTATAATGATGGATTTGCTTCTCTTCTTATTTCATAATTACGTATTTGCTTCCCTTCTTCTTTCATAACTATAATTGAGTAATAAAATTCGACTTGAAACTATTTTCAATAATAATCACATCTTCATGTTCATTTGCTATACAATGATAGATTTGCTTACTTTTGCTAATTCAGTGATAAAATTTGATATACTATAACAGATTTGCTTACTTTGCCCAATTCAATGATAAAATTTGCTACAATAATAATAGATTTGCTTAATTTTCCTAATTCAGTGATAAAATTTGTTACAATGATAGATTTGCCTCCCTTCTTCTCTCATAACTATAATTGAGTGATACAATTCGACTTGAAGCTATTTCCAATCTGTACCATACAGTATCAATTTATGAGCGATATTCAACTTCATAATAATCACATTTTCATGTTCATTTCCTATACAATGATGGATTTGCTTACTTTTGCTAATTCAGTGATAAAATTTGCTATACAATGCCAGATTTGCTTACTTTGCCCAAATCAGTGAGAAAGTTTGCTATAAGATTGACAGATTTGCTTAATTTTCCTAATTGAGTGATAAAATTTGTTATAACGATGGATTTGCTTCCCTTCTTCTTTCATAACTATAACAAATTTATCACTGTTAACACTGATAAATTTACCAATGTTCAAACGAAAAAACCAGCGACTCTCTCTCTCTCATTCTTTTTCCCCAATTCAAGTAAACAAAACACTATAAAAAATAATAAAAAATTTACCTAATTGAAAATTAAAACACAAGCACTATTACATTGTCCAAATTGGAAATTAAAATACTGTTACAATTTGTAGATATTCCCAACTTTGAGAATGAATGTAAGAACATGCCATCATTGGTGATTTCTGAATAATCAAAACCATTTGATACTTCAGTTAAACAACTCAAACATCCAAAGCTAGCTTCTGAGTGACCACAAAACAGTATGCAGACTAAGAACTTGTTGCTAAACCAAATAAACATGGTAGTTGATTTAAAAAATTTTGCTTTTTAAAACAGTTAACACAACAGATATGCAATTATGTATTATAGAGATTTGATCTACACCATTGTATTGTGGAAATTTTTCCTGGGAAAACTAGATAACTCCATACAATGATAAATTTATCACTGTAGAAAAGAACATTTGCTTGGATATGACAGTGATAAATTTATCAACCACTGACATAAATGTAATAAACTATCAACTCTTCCCACACGATAAGTGATAAATTTATCATTCTTCAAAATAAAAAAAATTTGAGAACCACATTAATGGTACATTTATCATTCTTATAAAAAAATAATCCATCAACTTGTCCAAACCAACCAGTGATAAATTTATCACTTTATAAAACACCAAAAAACGGCAACTATATTTAACCCAAATCAAATAACATAAATATGTGAAACTTAATCCTGTAAAAATATCAGCAAAAAATATAATTTCTAATCAACAAATTCCTCAATCATTCAATGCGAGTACCAAAATGATACATCTTTCAAAAAATACTCAATCATTCAATGCAAGTAACACCTCTCAACTCTCAAACAAAGTAATTCAATTAAAATCAATACAACTAAAGCAAAGCTTGTTTACATGTCTTCCAATTATAAGTTCCCATCTTTCCACACCTACTGCATCTAATTCTCTTGATTTCGCCCTTAGAAGGTATTCTCTCCGTTCTTGGACGTCCAGCTGGTCTCTTACAAAGAGGAGGTAAAACAACGTCATCATCAACAATTACATTTGGCTTCCACATACTAGGAACTGGATAGATAGAATGTGAATAAGAATCATAATAACTACTAACACGGTAGTAATCATCAAGAAAGCAATTCAGATCCTTCCCACTCCTCTTTATAAACCAAAAACCATGTTTGCAAGGAAAAGAATCAATTTCCCACAATCGACAAGAACAACAACGTTTCCCAATATCAACCATAACTGAATGATCCAATTCGATTTCATGAATGTCATCGTTACATTTCTTAACTATCCATGCTTTTGTATCATTAAAAGCTTCTTCCAACTTTTTCTCTGCAAAAGGACAAATAATACGATTCCACTTATTCCCAACTTCTCTCCTTCTTGAAAATTACTCCATTAGTTTCACCCGTATAGCATCAACAAGACTAGTTGAAAACAAATGGCGTTCATTCCTAATTCATGAATTAAAAGATTCCGCAGTATTTGTGCACATTTCACCATACCTCTTGCCTTGAAAATAAGCGTTACACCAACACTCATTAGATAAATCCTCAAGAAACCTCTCAACACTACGACCACAACGACCCTTAAATTCTTCAAATAGCTCATTAAACAACTCAATAGTAGGAGCATATGCACATATACTAAAAAGAGTAAGCAAATACTCTTTTGATTCACGACTCTTCACTGACAAATAAGTCTTCAAGTTTGTCTTCAAATGCATTAGACAAAAAGAATGACAAGAAAACGGAAAGACCTCAGCTAAAGCTTTCAGCAAACCTCCATGTCGATCAGTAACAAACGCAATATCCCTCTCCGGAGTCAAAATACCTAATAATTTTGACAAGAACCAATGCCAACTGTCATAACTTTCACCATCAACAATCATAAAACATAACGGATACAAACCTACAAACAAAATATATATATATATATATATATATACAAGTTATCAATAACAAATTAAAAAGATTATAAAAAAAAAATCAAAACACAAAGTATATAACATATAGCACCAACCATAGATAAATTTATCACTATATAAATATAAAAATTTAACAAAAAGTATACAGCATAAATTTATCACTAATAGATTGACCATACTCAATTATCAGTACTCTCCAGTAACAAAAATGATAGAATTATCACTATTTCAATAATAATAACACATAAACACAAAATATACCTTGATTACCATTTTTCGCCGTAGCAGCCAATAAACAACCTTTGTGTCTTCCTTTCAAAAAAGTTTCACCAAGCATCAACACAGGCCTACAATACTTGAAACCATGAATACATGCCTCAAAAGCGAAAAACAAGCATTTGAAATGTCTTCCTTTACTATCAATATCAAATTCCATAACAAAAACACTCCTCGGATTGCAAGCATTAGCGGCATCAGCATACCAACGAAGATCGTCAAATGATGATGAATAGTCACCAAAAAGAAGACCCCTTGCTTTTTCAACACCCATCCAAGCTCGCCGATAAGAAACTTCTGTTCCATAATAGTCCTTGAAATCACAAACCACCTCACTAACCGATGTCAAAGCCTTGTTACGAATATCACTAGAAATTAGCCCACTAATTATACTTGAAGTCATCCTAGCATGTTTAATTATACGAAAAGAAGATCCACAAGTATGAACATCATCAAATTATTTAATAACAAAAGCTTTACTATAATTTTCCACTCTAGCATGCACGCTCCATAAACATCCCAAATCAGCCCTTCTCTTATAATGAACAGTGACACGATCCTTATCATTCTTAACAAAATCAAAATTAAAACCGGAATGAATAGAATACTTTGACAACGCATCTCGAAATTCAACAACTCCTTAAGCAAACCTTTGTCCCACTCCTTTCATACAATTAACCCACCCATCGGAGAGCAAAGGTTTCCGTTGATTTTGATAAAATGAAGGCAAAAAATCAATTTCACAAACAACACTACTACTACTACTACTACTACTACTACTACTACTAGCTTCACCATCACAAATCATATAACCTTCACCCAAAGAACAACACTTTACAAAAACATCAATACGATGAATATCACAAGAAAGTGCCAGTCCAACCATAACCTCCAAATCCTCTTCACTTTCTAGACCACAAGAAGAATGTCCAGCCATTGAATACGATATATTCAAAGAACTACCAACTAACTCACTCCACTTTGCACACAATTTATATACTAAATCCTTGAAATTAAATCCATCACTATACTTGATAACCAATGTCACACCTCTAAACTTGCACATAAGAAACAAACAATTCTCCATCACTATAAATCCTGCAACAAACAACAATTACATTTCAAAAAACAACTCAAACACCCTAAAACAAAATCAAATACAGTGATAAAATTATCTCCTATTCCCATACTCACTCATAAATTTATCACTGTTGAAAAAGTTAATCCAACATCACCCCCAAAATACACAGTGATAAAAATTATCACTGTATAAAATAACAAACCAACACCTGTGTTCAATCAACACAATTTCGTAACCAAAAAAAATAAAAATCTAAAATTCAATCAACAAATACATATCTCTAAACTTTCAATATCATGATCAAAACACAAATTCAATCGCAACAGAAACAACAAAGTTACAACAATATCACCACAAAATCAAAATCACCAACTCAAACTAAAAAGAACCAAAACATTGAAATTGAAATCAAAATCAAACATACCAGTCGACCTAACTCCACAACACCACAAATCAGAAAATGTAGCTATACACCAAACGCAAAATCGCAAATAGGAAGAATCACCAAACACGCAATCGCAAATCACAAATTGCGAAGATACACCAAGCGCGAAATCAGAAATCACGAAGCTCCACAAATCGCGCAATCAGAAATCACGAAGCTCCACAAATTGCGAAATCAAAAATCACGAAGCTCCACAAATCGCGAAGACAACAGCAAATCGTGAAGTTCCACAGAAATTCAAATCACAAACACAATATTTTGATGGAAAATCCAAACAGAAACGCGCCAGAACAGAGGAGGGGTAAAACGGTGCCAAAAAAAAAGTCTCAAGATCTGTTGGTGCACAAGATCAAAAATCTTTGTTGCATGGACTTAGTAAGACATCAGTTCTAAGTGATTTATTCATGTGAACAACTGAAATATCAATTTACCCAATTCTTAAAGAATCCACTAGTCTTTTAAAGTATTCAAGTCAGGAACACTTTAACAAACAAAAATGTGGCCTGCTCTTTCCTCATTAGACACACTAGTTGAGCATGTGTATGAAACCAGATACTTTAGACATGTATGATGTATCTGACATTCATAACCATGTTGTCCATGGACATAGATATTACTAGGTATAGAGGAAATGCATTAAGTATTACTCTGTAATCCAACCCAAACGCTCTGCCAAAGGGATGGTGCCTAACAAGCTTAGCAAGAAGACCGAGCCCTGAAATCAATTTAAAGTAATGAATGAGAACAATCATTTAATTAGATAGTGACCAAAAAGATGTAGTAAAATAAAATAATTAAGAGAGAGAGAGAGAGAGAGAGAGAGAGAGAGAGGCGTAAAACTCACCTGATGACCAGTAAACAAATCAACCAGTATTGCTAAAGGCCCACAAGGCACCAGTAAGTTGATTTTGTTTGAGAAGAATACTACCTTGGTTCTGCTTAACACAATCTTCCATATATGTTCCCAACCAGAATCCTCCAAACATAAAGCAACAGAATTATATCTTTGTGGAGGTTTTGTCCTCCCATCAATAGACCCATGGTTGATCAAGCACTCATCCTCGAGATCAATCACTGAATGTTCCTCTAATGATCCCATCTGTGAAAACGATGTCATTACCACCAAAGGCCTGTGTATTTCAGACTACACATATAAAATCTCATCCAACATACTAATGAGCATAGTCAATGGGTTCAAAACCTCATATTTGGTCTCTAGCAACAAAATGTCGCAGGTCACAAAAGCTACAATGCTCATCAAAGAGGAAAGTTCATGTAACATATATACCAGATATGGCATGCACTATGCACATTATCCCCACCTTGAATAATCCATTCCTCTTTTTCCTCATTGTTTTATAATTATCAGAGAAATTTACATTTGCAGTGAAGATTATGTGGCAAGAGTGATCAATAACTTCTCATACTTAGAATTGTCTTCTAACCCATTCTTTGATTGACACTAAACCAGTGTTTGGCAGCATAAAATTCACATTTTGGAAATGGATTTGGAGAGTTCAAAATTTGAATTAACTTGATTTTCCATTCCAAATCCATGACATGAATTATATACTACGGAACATAATATCAATGAAAATCTGATCGATGCATGCGATTCACAAAAAGGAGAATTGAATTTATAAAATAATAATGAGAGAACTCACTTCGACATGTGATGGGATTCCAGCCATTGGTGAATTGTTGTTAGCCATCCACTAAAGATTCCATCTCCGAACACGGGCATAACTGCTGAGCCCCAATTTCACAACAAAGATGAAAGAGAACATCAAAGAGATCAAATATACATATATATATATATATATATAACCCTAGTGAAAGCAATCGAAGATCTAGCTGAAGGACATAGAATTGCAGAGAATTCACAGAGAAAACAAGATTTCCAAAGAAAATTTACGCAAAAAAGTCCCGCAATTGTTATAGTTGTGCTGATGACTCATGTGATGTGATTAATTCTGGTATGGAAGAGAGAGAAAGGTGAGAATTGTTTGATTCGTTTGTTTGTTGGTTTTCTTGATCCTTACCCTTCGTTTTCGGTGGAGTGAGTGCATAAACTGTGGGGAATTTACTTGGTGTACTCTCCACGCGGAGGAGGTGGTTATGCGTGGTTGGTAGGCTGCAACTGGAGTGGGTTGAGGCCGTGCCAAGCCCAAGTCAAAGCCCATTATCGTATACCCAGGTTGTTTAAAGCCCGTCAAGCCTGACTTGCGTTTAAAGTTTGATTTGTGCTTTGGATTGGACTCGAGTTATTCGTAGTATAATTTTTTTTTTTTCAACGATCCTATTACCACTTTTTTGCTAGAATTATTAATATTATCACAACAAATAGTTTATATGCTGAACAGATAAAGAGGAGAGAGATTGAAAATAAAGACTCGATGGAATGGTCTTGGCAAAAATAAAATAGTAAGATTTTATATTATGTCATTTGTATATATGAAAATTTTGTTATACACATTCTCATATTATATATATTTTTAATTATGTCATTATCTTCTTTAATTATCATCAATTTCTTTTTTTTTTTAATTATGACATTATTTTAACATATTTAATTATTACTTTTTTGTATTTGATTATGACTTCTTTTTTTTTATAGTTATGACTTAAAAAGTATGAAATTATTCAATTTTCTTTTATAATTATAACGTGTATATGGTATATACCCTTTGAGGAGTGTGTACCATAGTTTTTCCACAAAATATATATGAGTAATTCTAAATTTTATGAAAGAAATATCATAAAAGTTTTATGAAGATTCTTTATTATTGGATTAGTTTGTGGTGTTTTATTGTATCTTAATGCAATCATATATACTTATTCCCTATATTTCATAGAGCACTATAAGACAAAGAGTAAATTCATGTACACAAAAACTAAACATAGAATGTAACACAACTCTCTTACATTAAAGTAAGTTGCTTTATATTAGATTATTTCTTAAAATTTTATGAAACTTTTTCATAATATTTCTTTCATAAAACCTAACATTACAATATATATATATATATGTTGGCATATACTTCCTTATTGGAGTGTGGGACCCAATTGATTTGTTGAAGAATTTTAATTTGACTTGATTTAGGTATAATATAATTTTATATATTATATTTAAAGAGACCCAATCTAATTTAAAAACTACTAAGATTTGATTTTTAAATTCAAGATTCAATATATATATATATATATATATATTGTTTAGTCTTTATAAAAAGGTGTATGCACGGCTCTTACAAATTTGGCTCAAAACTTTTCCGAAGTGGTGCCGTTGCTGAAAACATCTTTTTTTTGCGGGGTTTGTGCCAATTCATCTTTGGCGTTTTTTTGTTGGTTTGGGGCGGCAGTGCTTGAGTTCAACTCAGCGGATTGGTTTCGGTTGCTTTGTTTTGGTTCGGTATTGATTTGGTTCGTTATTTTGGGTCTTCTACAACTTTGGTTCTGAAGATTTTGGTTCATCTATTTGGTGAGGTTTTTCCTCTTGTTTATTTGTGATTATTTGGAATTCACCCAATGGTGGTTTTGTGAGACCATTAGTGTCTCGTTTGTAATCGTTTGGAACTTATTTGGTTGATAGTGGAATCGGATTTCGATCCAGTGGACGTACCTCACATTGAGGGAACCACGTAAAATTCTTGTGTTGCTCTTGATTTAATTTTTCCGCATTAGTTTTTTATTCCCATTGTTTGATTTACTTGTGGGGAATCACATCGTTTTTCCCTAACAACTGGTATTAGAGCTTACGGTTTATTTAGATTTATTTATTTGTGTAAATCAATGGAGGGGAATGTGGGTCGCATGTCTAGCTTCAATGGAAGTAATTGGGTAACTTGAAAAACTAAAATGGAGGACCTATTATTTTGTAAAGATTTATATGGACCCATTGAGGGTGATTCTGGCAAACCCGAGGGTATGAAAGATGATGAATGGAATAGGCTTAATCGAAAAGCCGTTGGTGTTATCCGTCAATGGATTGATGACAGTGTGTTTCATCATGTTGCTACTGAAACTTCAGCACATGATTTATGGAAAAAATTAGAGGGCCTTTATGATAGGAAATCAGCCACAAATAAATATTCGGAAACATTTGTTGTGAGAGGCCGAAGCAAAACAAGGGGGAGAAGTAAGACTCCTCATGGTCGTGATCAAAGCCGTGACAAATCAAAAGATGGTTCTTTTTCAAAGAAAGACATTGAGTGCTATTATTGCCATGAGAAAGGGCACATGAAGCGAGAATGCCGAAAGCTCAAGAACAAGGAGAAAAATGCGTGATAAAAGTGTGGATAAGAAGCAAGAAGACACAACAGCAGTTACTACCAATGGTGATCTCATGGTCGTTTGTGAAGATGATTGTATCAATTTTGTGGGCCAAGAGAGCAATTGGGTGATTGATTCCGGTGCTTCTCACATCAGACAAGCATAGTTAACCTAGAACTTCATATCCTAAAGTAGTGACAAGGAATAATTGGAAACTTTGATCATAAATATAAAGATTGGAGATTGAAAGCCTACTTTCAACCTAGGACATATAGGAACAATGAAATTGGGGGATGCCGGACATTTTTTAAGTTTCTAAACCAGGTAACTTCAGAATTTTTTAAGGATCCAAATCCTAGGGTTTGGATTGTTCATTGTTGAAAGTTCTATCTTTATTGAATTGGATTAGTAAAATTAGTAGTTTTTTCATATCAGAGAGGTTAGGTAATTTTTTTTTTTTTTGGTGACTTCAAATTTTATTCCACACAAAACACAAAGAAAACAACAAACAACGACCTACACCTCCACACTAGAAACAAAAAAACAGATATCAACACCAAAACAAAACAACAAAACAAAAGAAAGCTAGAAAATCTATTTATCAGGTCTGTAGAATGGAACAAGGTAGCCCGCAATCCATACAGATTTGCCAATTTTGCGAAGAATTCTTAACTCTCTTGAAAGAACAAGCTCTAGCTCTAACTTCCTTAACTATTCTAGCCACTATCACTTCCTTGTGACTAACAAGAGAGAGAGAGGGAGAGAGAGAGAGAGAGAGAGACGCAAAGAAGAAAAGGAAATAGGGACTAGGGAGGTGACCAGCGAGGATGGTCGTGATGGTGGGTGCCCGTGACGGTGGCCGGAGAAGGAAAGTAGGCAGAGGCTAGTGGTAGATGGTGGAGTCCAAAACAGTAATTTTATATAGGAAGAGAAAGGGCAAGATGCGAAGAAGAAAAGTAAACAGGGACTAGGGAGACGACCAGCGAGGATGGTCGTGATGGAGGGTGCCCGCGACGGTGGCCGAAGAAGGAAAGTATGTGGAGGCTAGTGGTAGATGGTGGAGTCCAAAATAGTAATTTTATAAGGGATATAAGTGTAATGAGAAAAAAATTATGAAAATGGTGTGTATTGAGAAGTTTAGTGGATGGTGGCCGGAGAAGGAAAGTAGGCGGAGGCTGGTGGTAGATGGTGGAGTCCAAAATAGTAATTTTATAAGGGATATAAGTGTAAAAAGAAAAAAAATTATAAAAATGGTGTGTATTGAGAAGTTTGGTGGTGCGTAAATAGAATTTTCATACACAATATTTAATTGACTAATTTGAGCTTTTGGTAGAATAACCGTATTGGTTCAACCAATGAGGTGTTGTATATTTTTCAGGTATGTGTCAATAAATTTACACTCATCCTTTGAAAGCCCATTTTGGGTCTGTATTTTGGTAATTTGTATCATTCAAATTTTAGTATTTCTCAATATTTTTGTAAAAAATTAAATTAATCAGATTTTAATATTCTCAAGTTTGGATCATATTAATCTTAAAAGAATAAACATTCTATTCTCGATATTATACTTGTTCATTTAAAAATAAATAAATAAATATAATTCAAACATATTGTTACTAATATCCAATTAATCTAATTTTTTTACATAAATAATCTTTTTTTTTTCTTGGTTTAGAATTTTCAAAAATAGCTGTTTTGAATTTTCAATCTTTTTTTTTAAAAAAAAAATAGTAACTTTTTAAATATTTTAATTATTTTAAAATCTAAATACACTCAATAAAATAATATAAATACACTTAAAACCAAACAAAATAACTAAAATTTAAATGATTGA